TCCGGCACTGCTTAGAGGGCGGAGGGAAATGGGACAAGTTTGTATTTATTTATATATCCATACGGATGAAGCAAGCTTCAGGAGCCACATGGTGGAGAGGTGAACATGTCTACGCACGACTCAAATTACGCAACGATTGGGAAGTGGGGGTTGGTGGGGTGAGGTGGAGGGTGGTGGCGGTAGCGGGGAATTCATCCACAGGGGCGGAGTGGATTGGTGGGTGGCAGCATCTGCAGGTTCACATTGCTGTGTCCTTTGCACTGGTGAACACATAGGCACGCTGAGCCTCACCTACAGGACACACCTGTAAAAAGAAAATACCCTCCTTTGACAAACAGATCACAAAGACAAAGATCCCCAGTGTAGCCTCAACAGACTGTTGGGGCAAGTGCTGTTAACGAGCACCTATGAATGCCGGGACAGAACACGAGGGGGTGGGTGGCCAACACCACGCCCGGCCGCTTTTGTCTCCCTAGTAATGATGTTTACACACCGCACCAGGGACTCATTTGAGGCTGAGTCGACCTAGGGGAGGCCCAGGACCGATTCAGATAATCGTCACTGGTGTTGGCCGTGAGCGGGAATCGAACCCGGATCGCTAGGTTCGTTACACTACTGCTCCTCACAAACAGAACACACACACGCACACAGGTAAGGATTACCCCGTTAAAAGCCTTGCAGACTTTGCTAATGCTGCTGGTGGGAAATTATTAAATGCCAGCACGGTACACAATAGTGTGGTCAGGCCAGTCATCGCTATGTCGGAATGCTTTCGTGATCTCACTTGAGGCTGAGTGGACCTAGGAGTGAAATTCGAATGGACATTCATACTGACGTACGTATCCATGAATAGATCTGATATCAACTACGATGAAGATGCCCTTCTTTCATCATTTCAGACAAATAATACCACGACAGAATATTGAGACTCCGAGAGAGAGAGTGATGTTAGCGAACATCTACTCAGACCATGCCCGGCTATCTCTGTATCCGCTGTGCGGATGTTGTCTGATCACATCAGGAACTGTACTCGATTATGGCTGGGTCGACCTGGCGGAGGCCGAACGGTAGGTTTAGAAACTACTTGGCAATTATATTTTCCACGACCAAGGAATGGAACCCAGGTTTTCAGGATTGTAGCGCAGTGCGCTAGATAATCGACCTGCCACCGCTGCCCAACACACACTACAGGTACACGCACACCAAAGACAAAGATCCCCCGTATAGCCTTGAACAGACTTGAGGTAAGTACTGCTAGCGAGCACATATGAAGACCGGCACGGCACACGAGGGGAGTCACCGGCACCACGCCCAGCCGCCTTTATCTCCCCAGTGGCGATGTTTTTTACACACTGCACAAGATACTCATTTGAGACTGAGTCGACCTAGAGGAGGCTCGGGACCGTTTCAGATAATCGTCACTGGTGTTGACCATGCGTGCGAATCGAACCCAGGTCACGACGACTACCCATAAATGTGAGTACAACAACCGCCATTCGGCACGAAGTTGCGATGACGTCACCACGGCGCTTGTGCCAGGCTATGTGCACGTTAAGACCACGTGAAGTGTCAAACGCCCATCGTGCAGGTCACGGGACAGACCCAGGTGCCATGGGTTGACTGCCCGAGATGACTGGTATATGCACCACCTGTGCCCCCTACTGGGGCAACTTTCTCTGCTTTCGCCACCCGACGCTCCGCTCATTGTTGTGAGCGTCGCTCCTCTGCCCTGCGATTTTGCTGGAGGGCGACTGCCTCCACCTACCCAACAGCGTCCTTCACGAGCCTCCTCCACAGAGGCCGATCTTAACGCCGCTGGTACTAGTCATCGGCAAGTCCACTCAATTCCGCATCCTCTTGTACCACATCACTCCATCTCTTCTCTAACCCGTGCCGCGCCCGTTTATCCCCCTCTATCACGCCGAACAAAAGCTGTTTGGGCATGCGGTGACTGGGCTTGTGGGCTACATGACCCAGCCAACGCAGCCTTGCCTGCTGGAGGAGCTCACCGATGAGATTTTGTCCAGATCTTTCTAGGATTTGTGAGCGCCTCACACAATAAAGCCTGGTTAAACCCAGGATGGATCCTAGGCAGTTCAGCCTAAATGTTTCAAACTGGCAAAGATGGTCCATTAGGAGGGTCCACGTTTCGCAGTCATAGAGAAGGGAGGGCATAACCGTGGCCAAGAAGACTTGAAGCTTCGTGGGAAGTGACAGACCAGGTAGCTTCCACACAGCGTTACGCAGCTAATGAAAAGATAATGCCGCTCGGCTGATTCGGAGTGAGATCTCTGCTGTCAAACCGGAGCCGGTCATACGCACACTTGCCCAGGTATGGGAAACTCTCCACTCTCTCCACAACTGCCCCATCACCGATTGGGAGTTGTGTGGGTGGGTTGCCCGATGGTACAAAATACCTAGGCAGGTGCTTAGTTTTGGTGGGGCTGATGGTAAGGTCCCACCTCTTAGTGGCACGCTCCAGGTTCAGCAGCAGCGCCTCCCAACTCCTCCTCTGAGTGAGCAGCAATCACCAAATCATCGGCATACATAATATGGTTGACCAATAGGGAGCCATCATTTGACCACATTCGGGCATCGATCAGTTTCCCTTTGTATCGACACCAGATGGAAATTCCTCCGGTGCAGCCATCGAAGGCTTCACGAACTACTTGGTCGAAACAGATGTTAAATAATGTTGGAGCGAGAGAACATCCCTGTCGCACTCCAAGGTGCACAGGGAATGGCTCCGACTCCCGGCCACGTAGTTTTTACCCAGGCCTGCCCACCATCATGAAGATCCTTGATGATTGTGAGCAGAGAGTCAGGGACTCCGAAAGCACGAAGAACAAGAAGTTTGAGTACACACACGCACACACACGAGTGTAAAGACGACTTTGCGGATCAACACAAAGTGCGGTCGGATCTTGCCATTCCACTCGGGAGAGAACAAGCCTCGGGGAGAGTGCGTGGGGGGAGGTGGGGGGCACGGAGATAGATGCCGGTGTCTGCAATACGTCGGCTGACAAATCATTCTTTATTTATAACGTTCGCCAGCCCTCGCCACTCTGTTGTATTTTGACAGAAGGGCGTCGCAGCAACGCAACTTTTTTTTTACAGGAGACTGCCCCCCCCCCCCCATTAATCGGGAACGTCGCTCAACGGAGGGCTAACGCCCACCAGCGCAGAACTCGCTAGCGTTGTCGAGTAAGGGGTCGTCCATAAATGACGTCACGCATCTGGGGGGGGGGGTCAGACATTCGTGACGATGTGTGACGAAGGGGGGGGGGGGGGTTGAGAAATGTGACGGCACATCAAAATGCGCAACTTTAAATAAATATAGACAACACGTTCTACTTAATTAAATATACTTTTTAATAAATGTTTTCTCCTACAACATCAGAGTGCAGCGCCACATTAAATACGCACTACAATGACAATAGTTTAAAGCGATTTGAAGCATGTTCTATTTTTTGGGGGGGCAGAGCTTTGTGACGTCATATTTGATGGGGGGGGTCTGACTTTTTGTGACGCCGTGTGACGAAGGGGGGGGGGTCAAAAATCGTCCAAAATCGCGTGACGTCATTTATGGACGGCCCCTAAGACAGGAGGCAAACAGCAGAGTGTTTGTGCAGCAGCTCTGAAGAAGAAGGAGCGGGGTGGGGGCAATATATTGCTGGCCTTTCCCTCGATGTACTGACGCCCACGACAGCGTAGTGTGTCGCCAAATTAATCCCTCTGAATGATTAAGAGGTCGGATACAAATTTCAAATGTTTTTTTTACACGCGGTGTAATTTTTTTGCATGAATCATTTTCCCCACTGTGCAAATTTTTTTGCTAATTATAATAAATGTTAATGCCCTACGTTGAGCAACGGTGTTGGTGCAACAACGCTTGACTCAAAAGAAAAGGATGCGTACCTCCATTCAGCCAGAGTCCATGTCTGTCCGGGGTACAAAGTCACAAGGTTATGCGTGGCTTTTAAAAGATTAAAAATCACAGGCCAACATTTTCTGAAAAATCATCACGGGGAAGAGAGGGCAGGGCACGCCCTGGTTACATTTTTCAGGGTTTAAACGAGAAGCAACTTTAGCCTTAATATTGCAAAAAAACATGGTTGGCATGGTGATGAAGTGGTTATATCGCACTGCACTATAAAATTCGGTCACCTGAGTGTGATTCCTGATCATGGCTCACACCACTGGTGAGCGATATCTGAATAACTTCCCCCCCTTCCTCGCCAACCCATATGGACCGGCCTGGTGAGCTATGGTCAAACAACCCACACATATCGTGCGGAGGAGGCATTTATCTAGTGTTGGGTTAATGTTTGTATGATGAGGTGGCGAAATGGTTAACACACTGCACTTTAAACCCAGCGGCTTGAATTCTAATTTTGGCCGTGGTTGATGTCGGTCTGGAACGACATCTGAAACCGTTTCCTTTCCCGCTCGTTATTGGGGCTAAACTGACTGCAATTTGCATGGTGAAGTATGGTCAAACAACACTCATGACCGGCATGCTGTGGGGAAAGCGTTCATCTAGCAGTGGATTAAAAAGTGGCCGCAATTGAAATGTTGAAAAGATATACTGTATTGCAAAAGAGGCTGTTGCGTAGGCTGCATGACACAGGGCAGACCTGACAGCTCGAACATGTGCTGGTGGAGAGGGGAGGAGTTGATGATTGTACATGGTGGTCCAGATGTCTTGTGACCCTAATTTAATTCTCGAAAAAAATCTACGTGGGTACGTGGCTTTACCGAAAGACCTACCAAATATGTAATACACTTTTGCATACCAGTAGGTGTGTTAAACATAAATTAACGAGCAAAGCAAAATAAAATGTTTGGGGAGGAGGGGGGGGGGGTAACAAGACATCTGGACCACCCAATAGTTTGAGGCCAGGCCTTTATGGGTGCATGTTGCACGAAACGTTACGTCTCCGAATGCACGCCTGAAACGGACCGCTCCGAGTCCACCTTCAGCCAACGAGACGCGAGCCCTCCCACGCCCCCACGGGCACACGCGCGCACCCTCGCAAACCGTGAACCACACCTGGGCCACACCTGGTCACGAAACGCGTGCGGTGCTCTGCTGGCAACCCCCCTCTCACCTTCCACCACCCTGACTGTACAACCTTTTGACGGCCGGGATCTTGTCTCTTGCCTACACCACAATCTTCCCCGCCCCACGTCAGGATGGCTTCGGCGGATATTTTCTGCGGTCGTAACTGAAGTTGTTGGCAAGAGCCTTGCGCGTGAGGCTCAAACAAGGCACAAACAAAAGGCGCGGTCGAGTCCCATCGGTTTAACTATATATTTATTTTAATGTTGCAAAAAAATAGAACTCGTACCCTTGCACATTATAATGAAACCCGTAGAAGCGGGGTATGTAGTGTTTTTATTATTATTATTTTAACATCATACACACTGCTCACATTGTTTGAAGTAAAACAGAGAGAAGCAGGCGTTGTCACATTTTGCGGCACATAACAGGGCGTGTTCCGCGCTGAAACTGGCAGATATAATTACGCGCCCGTCTACCCCCGCGGGTAACTTTGAACGAATACCTCTTGCCTGTCCAGACTGGTTCGCCTGCTTCAAGATCCACAGTGCAGGTGTGGTCACGCTCTCCTCCTGCCCCAACACTTTGGATTACGAGACGCAGCGGCGGTGGCGCTAATCAGGCTGCTCACGGACAACACGGCCGCCGCCAGCCACTTCGGAAAAAAGGCACCAAGCTCAAACCGTCGGAACCTGGCCGGTTTACTCTGCGCGTAACCCCGGCACGCGTTCCTCCGTAGCATGAGCATCGTGCGCGCAACGTTCGCGAGCGCGCCTCCTTGTTTCATCTCAGAGAGACTCCGCGCGGCCGCAGAGAGAGAGGCGCGGAGCTGCCGTGAGCGATTAGAGCCACTCGCGCCTGACGCCCCCGAACCAAGCAGCCACCATGGCTCGGATGTCGCAGAGTTCAGATTTCAACGAGGGCCTGCGGCCAGAGGACTACGTGGAGCCCCACTACAAGGAGTCGTACCGGCTGGCGGTGGACGCGCTGGTGGAGCGCGGCGACGATGCCTACAATGAGTTCCTTAAGCGCGAGGGCACCATCGGGTTCCTGTCGCCCGCCGAGATGGAGCACATCCAGTCGCGCTTGCTGCTGCCCAAGGTGTCCGAGCGCGACGGGGCCGCCTCCGACCTTACCGACGGAGCAGCGGACGACTCCTCCTCGGGGACCTACTGGCCCATGATGTCCGACACATCGGTGCCCGAGCTGGACCTCGGCTGGCCGCTGGTGCAGCCGCACAACCGAGGCCAGACCAACGTGACGCTCTACTTGCACCCGCCGCTCGGCGATGGGGTGCCCACCATCAAGCAGGTGGTGCGCAAGATGGTGCAACAGGCAACGCAGGTGAGAGGAGGGCCGGTGTGGACGCTGTGTGTGTGTCTTTTTTTGTTGTTGCAGTGATCATCTTCTTTCGTACGTTTGTATGTCTGTTGAACTTCTGTCGCACCGTACGTTGCCAACCGTGCACAATCGGAGGTGCGGGGGAAGGACAACAAACTAACACACTAAGAGCGGTTGTAAAGAAGTGAGCTTTCAATCTAGATTTAATAGTGCACCGCTTCAGCGGCTTCCTAATATCGGAAGAGCGTTCCAGACGGCCGCAGAAGCGCATCTTAAAGCGAGCGATGCAGTGACCGTCTTTATTCGATAGCCAGTCAAAAGCCACTGCGAGGATGATCGGAGTTCGCGTATATTGATTGGGCAACGGTTACATGTTCATGTTGAGATTGGTGAGTGAGCCTGTGGATGTCTTGTGGTGTGGCAGTCGAATCCCAGAGAGGTGAGGGCCACAGACAACATTACTTTCATTGTGTGTGTTTAGTTTGTTGTCCTTCCCCTGCACCTCCAATTATCACGCTCGGCTACGTACGGCGCGAAAGAAGTGTAACATACACATGGCTTCAGGAGTCGCCTTCTGAATACCTACAATGCCGACTGCAAATGATCGCAAAGATGTGAGCCAATAAATATTTAGTTTTTTTTTTACCTAGGAATGCCTCAATGAGTCCCAAGGCATTAATGATGCTCTTAGTTGATATAAAGTACAGCATTTGACAAATTCACGTTTTGCATTGTGGGATTTTTCTTTTTCATTTGCGTAGAAGACATCCACATCAGCCGTGCGATGTTCTGATGCAGTTCAATACAGACCTTTATTTGTGATGTAAACGATGCAGTTTCTCATGGTGCGTTTCTGCATGGGAATTTAATCGTTTGGTTTGAAACTACGTGGTCTGTGCGTTATTTTTAATTGATAAGGGTTTGTTTGATTTCCGTTGTTTAATTGAGAAACGCAACCTGCTTGTATGTCTATGCAACACAGTTCATTTGTCAACTTCAAATGTTCCAGGTTACTCGGAGCCCTAAGGGTGAAGGGCGATCTGTAGCTACAAGTTGGTCTGTACCCTCTAGCGTTGTCTCTGCTCTGAAGAAGGGCCCCACTGCCCAAAAAGCCAATGCAGTATACATTTTTCTGTCAGAATGTTTTAATTCAGCTCGAGCGCTTACTGTTATTGAACATTAATATAGATTGATTAAATTACAAGCCCTTTGTAAATCACTGCAGGATGATGCAGGATGAAGGCCTGCCCATTGGGTGTCGGTAATGGGGGTTGTTTGACCATACTTCGTAACACTAGCCAGTGATGTTAGCTGTGGCCAGTATTTTGACTTGGGGGGCCCAGGTTCGTGGTACAATGTGCTAACCACTGCACCGCCGCTCCACCCCGCCACTGAACATAGCACAAGGCAAAAACTAAAATTTTCAGGAAAGTCCCACCGAGAGTTTGGTTGGGGTCATGGATGAAAAAAATATTTTATGTGTAGGGGCCTTGGTTTGTGTAGAAAGACTAGTGTTTTTTTAAAAGAAGGTCCTTCCTTCCACGTGAAAATATTGAAAACGTGAATTGCCCAGCTATCTCAATTAAGAGCACTGAATATGTTGAGACACATCGAGGCATTTCCTGGGTAAATATATTATTATTGAACAAGTTGCTTGAAATTATCAAGTGTTGCACAATGGTGCCACACTTCACATTGCTGTGGTATTTGAGTAGCGGTGGATAAAATGTACAACACAGCAGACGGTTCGTGTGAATGTTATACTCACCATTGCAGTACTACAGTCACATATCCGTTGAACACGTAGGCTTTCGCGACCAATATTATCCGTAAAATAAAGATTTTTGGGTTAGATCGCTTTTGGCGTTCTCTGGTCTGACACTGGTGAGACCGGACCCTAAAGAAGGCTGTCTCTGGTGTAGACCAATCAGTTTGAGAGACAATGCCATATATTATAAGATCATGTGTTGGCTGCATGTTCATCACAAGCACGTGTGGTTAATGCAGACTTGATTCATTGCAAAAGGTTTATATTTGGTGTTTGAAAATCTTAATACCTCCTGTTTTATTGCCAGAAAGGGTAAAACCTATTCTTATTTTTTCATTAATATAAATTTGTCGTTTAACCAGCCAATGTGTAATGTTCGTCATGTAAACAAAACGTGGCCAATTCATTACTAGTACAGCACACCGGTGTGTTGGTGTTGGCGAGTACAAATCTAAATGTTGTGGGTTCACTCTCCAACACACCGGTGTGCTGTACTAGTAACGAATTGGCGTGTTTTGTTTACGTGACAAACCTTACTCATTGGCTGTGTCGGGTGGTGGCGGGTATAACGACACATTTATATTTACGCGATCTAACCAAAAAAACTATTATCACATATCTGACTCGCTGGGGACTGAGGCATAGCTGGCGGATATGTGAAAAAGGGACGGTTGTGTGAATATCTGTAAAAATAAATGATAGTTACACCGTGCACCAATATGTTGCTGGCCAAAATTATAGTGCAAACATCTTTAAACACGGGGAAATGCTTTACTACGATGATCACTAGGTGTAATAACCGTAATACCGTACTCGGTTCTGCTTGCTTCACGGCGGATGTTAAAGATCTCCCGATGTCACTCGTGGTCCAAATTTTGCCAAATTCGAAAATTACATCGCAGATGGTCATTCAATTGGGAACATACGGAGCCATCGCACCCTACTGACGGACTGATGCCCATTGTCAAGCACAGGTGCCGAGTCACCTTGTGCCCAAAGAGGGGGGGTGCACTTTCGAATGTGTTGAGGTGAGATGTGATGCACCCTGAGAGGGTCCCCGGCAATATGGAGCACCATATCAGAAACAAGTCATCATCGTTATTCATTAGTATAGAAGTGTATATGTGCGCTCTGAGGATTATCATTGACTGTGTGTGTGTGTGAGGTCTGATTTGTGAACACCTACAAAAAATGACAGTTATCTCATGCACAAATACTGTATTGGGTGTGGGGCAGTTAATTGATCGGGGCGGGTTTTCAATGGTTGGCTATGCTGTACAATTCTGGGCCCGAATGGAAAATTACGCATGCACAAGTACTCGTACATGCTATGGCTTTTGTTCGTTATTGTTATATAGTCAGCAATTAATTGATCAAATATCTCGATAACTTATGGCCCTTTGCCAATTCACTAATGCGGTATCGATTATCGTGCTTCTTTGGCCATATTTCATCCTGGTGAGTGTGGGATGCTGAAGAGCAGTTCAGATGCCACTCATCACTGATGTCAGCCGTGGTCAGGAGTCTAACTCGGGTCACGACCACTCAACCCCAATGGTGACAATAAGTGTCTCAAAAATACAACTCACCAGATAGGTGGTGCATTGGTTAAAGAACGCGGCTCGCAATCGGGACACCTGCGAGTTCAAATCGTTGTTGGGGTTTGACTCAACCAATCATCCGTCCAGAGTTGGTAAAATGAGTACCGCTTTGTGGGAAGTCATGAATAGTTGTCTTATTCATAGACTCGCCCCTCCCATGGAATGTGGAATATCCACCACTGGCTGTGGGGCTGTTCATTTGAGCTGAGCATCACATTGATATTATGAAAAATAAGAATCGGTTTTACCCTTTCTGGCAATAAAACAGGAGGTGTTAAGAAGTTCAAACAGCAAAGAGAAAACTTTTGCAAGGAATCAAGTTACTGCATTACCCACACACGGTACTTGTGGTGAACATGCAAAACAAACATGGCTCTGATAATAGATGGGCATTGCCTTTGAAGCTGATTGGCCTGCACCAGAGACAGCCTTCTTCATGGCCTAGTCCCACTACCGGTGTCAGACCAGAGAACGCCAAAAGGCGCACAGTACAAAGGCAATGCCACACGTATCAGAGCATTCATAGCTCGGGGAACTGGCAAAAATAGGTCCCATTATATGACATTGATACTTTGACCTTATTAACAAATGCCTGAAGAACATGCAATATCGTGCAGGTGTTAAGGGATAACTTAATTTACGTAAAATCTTGACTTAAAGCTTGAATTAAAGCTTTCGTTATTATTTTTCTATCTACGTGACTTTACCGAAAGACACAAAACGTTTAAATTACGTTGCAAATCATAAAATCTCGATTTAAAACTCATTTCTTTTTCACTGATTTTTGTGTTTAGTTTGTTGTCCTTCTCCCGCACCTCCGATTAGCACAGTTGGCTTTGTACTGTGCGGAAGAAGCTCACCATACATACGTACAAAAATAGCTGTTATCTTGTATGTAAGGCCTATGCTGTCTAAATCAGGTTTGAAGCTTCTATAGTCATGAAAAATTACTTTAAAATCACTGTCATGGGTCCTCCGATGACACCACCCCAGTGCCATTGCATGAGAAAGTACGGGAGTGACACTGCAGTGGCGGTGGCAGTGCGCACTTGCGATCCGGTCCTTTGGAGCCGGGGTTTGTTGATCACCGTAGAGGTTTCTGAAACTTCCAAAGCCTCTGGGCTGAGAGGTGGCCAAGAGATAACAGTCAAGGAAATGGGTTTTCGAGCACGTCTGTATTGAGATTAAGAGTGTTTTTAACCCCATGCGTCTGTGGATTTTCTCCGGATGCACCAGTTTCCTGCCACAGGTAAATCTCTGCTTTAAAAGGAATTGGGCAAATGTATGAACATTAAATACATTATTTTTGCGATGCTGCGGCGGCGTGGGCAGTGTTGCAGGAGCACAATTAACAAAAACAACTGAACACATTTAAGGCGGTGTCATTTATTTTTTCAACGGACGAAAACGAGCCACGAGACTCAGTTGTGCTTTTCCACAACATATAAATATATTGCATTCATTACACAATTATTTTCCAATTTGTGCTATCGCTGGTTGCGTCATTAGACGAACAATATCCATTGGTAACCCCTGCAACCGAGCTACTCGGCATCCTGTGTGAGTGAACAGCTTCAGCCAACAATGCGAGAGGACTACATTTGCAGTCGTGCCTCTTCACGCTCTGCCAACAATGTTGGTCCCATGTCAATCAAGCCAACATTTTTAATTTCCAGCACTGCAAGATATAGGCAGATTGAATGATGGGTTTGTTTGAGCCGAGACCATCAACTCTTTACAACTGAGAAACCCGGATTCGAACGCAGCGTCTCAGAGATGCCTGGTCAGTGCTCTGACCCCTGAGCCACCCGGTTATCTCAACAACATCATCATCATCAGTTATTGTCTATCCACTGCTTAATGAAGATGAAGGCTTCCCCACACCATCGATATCCCTCAACGTTCCAGTACTGCGACCATCCATCTCCCACCCTTGCACATGAGCAGACCTCATAGCTTCATCTTTGCCGTGGCCATCCCCTCTACTTTGGCTGCCATTCCGTCCACCAGTCCTAGTCCACGGGCCGTCATCCTGTCGAGCAACGTGTCCTGCTGAAACCCATGTGCTCAATATAACGTCTCGGATTAGTCACCGTTCCCTGAACCCACGTGTTCGTCTTCCTGCCTCTCAGCGTAACTGCAAGCATTCATTTCTAAAAACAACCTCTTTGCACAATATCCATTCTCTGCAAGCTTTCAGTTTCCTCCGTTAACATCGATGGTTCTGATCTGTACACTCGTAGGTGGCAAAACGCATTTTATTCGACAAAAATTAAAACACTTTCTGGGGACAAACGCCCGTTGGAAAGCGTTCCTCAAACCACGCGCGTGCATTGTTTTCCCTCCTTATGAGCGTAAGCCAGTGTTCTTCATTGCTACGGCCCGCGGGCCGCTAGCGGCCCCTCGTGACCTTCAGAGCAGTCCCTGACGTAGGGCCCCCGACAAAACACAAATGGTGAAAACACCGCCCCATCATCATCGTCATGCTGCGAAACCCCCCCCCCCCCCCACAATGGTTTCAAATGCTCTCACACCGATGTTTTATCGGCAAAAATGGGTCCCCCTCGAAAAATGAGTGAAGAACACTGACACATGCGCACTTTGTTTTTGCGCTGCGTTACATTAGCAACGACGATAACAATAAACAACTTAAGTTTTCTCCGGCACATTTCGCACGACGCCTCAAGCATTTCGCCCCCCCCCTTCGACCCTCCGCGCGTCGTGCCGCAGGTCATCGGCGTCGTCATGGACGTCTTCTCGGATGTGGACATCTTCAAGGACCTGCTGGATGCCGCCACCTTCCGACACGTTCCCGTCTACATCGTCCTAGACGACGTCAACTTCTCCGTCTTCCGCGACATGTGTGACCGCTTCGGCGTCCGCATGGACAAGCTCGAGGTAAACTATGAAACTATAACTGTCGGATAAAGGGCCTTATTGGCTCTCCAGACTGTTGGTTGTTCAGCAGCATTTGTTCAAGCGAGGAAAGTCACGGATCAGTTTCAGAGAGTCGGGCCTGTTAAACAAATTAGCCTTATGGCGGGACCCCGGGGTCCCATAAGCCCATGGCTCTCGCATAAACTGCATTACGACGTCATTTAATGTCTGTCGAAGGCGAACGATACGGCGATCTGTTCCTCTCGACGAGCTCTGCACGATGCGCTAATCAAAGTTTAAAAGTTTTGTTTCTTCTGCGCATTCGTCCTCGCTGCTGCGCTTGGACGGCACGACAACAGAACGATCCGCGCCAGGCGGGTCGTGGCGTTTATGCGCGCGGTGGGACGGAGTCGCCAAAAATAAAAAAATAAAAATAATTACGATTTTGACTTCTGTTTATTCGAGACCCCGGGGTCCCGCGAAAAGGTTCAAATGCCACTGGCGTACCCGGTGTTCTTGGCAGGAGAAAGGATGGGGTCCTGTTCAAGGCGAACGGCAATAAGCAAAGAGAATTACATATAAACTAAAACTAGACTATTTTATTTTATTTTACCAAGTAAGGCCCCCACTGAGTTATAAAGCTCTTTTTCAGAAGCAACCTGGCCACAAGTGAGGGCTCAACGAAGTCGCTTATTACGTGGAAATGTATAGCCGCCACATACTCGAAACGCACAGCCGCCACATACTCGAAACGCACTTCGATTCTCAATGTGGAGAGAAAAAACGGGAGGTGCCCGGAGAAAAATCCACGCGGCCACGGGGAGAACACGCACACTCCAAATATATAGACGTCAGCGTCAGGATCGAACCCACAACCTCCTGCATGCCAGGCGAGGGAGTTAACATCTCGCAAGGTATGACGGTGACCCAATATGGCACAGACCGCCAAACTTTTGTAATCGGCTTAGGGTTTCATCATTTCGGTGACGTTGCTGCTGCTGCTGCTGCTGTGTTGCACACGTAACAAACAAACAAAAACACCCTATTCGTCAACAACACTGTGGCCTTCAAATTAAAACAAATCTGTAATAGGTGACATTACGATAAACCAAACAAAAACACCCTATTCGTCAACAACACTGTGGCCTTCAAATTAAAACAAATCTGTAATAGGTGACATTACGATAAACCAGTGGTAGATGTTGGTTCGGGGTAGAGCTGAGCTGTCTGATCGTATAACTAATCGATTTCTTACGATTATCGGTCCAATTATCCAAAATTTAGATAGTTGTGGAAAGAAAGTCTCACCACAATTTTGTTGTCGTTCCCCCGCACCTCCAATTATCACGGATGGCTATGTACGGTGCAAAGGAAGTTCAACTTGCATACATACTCACGTGCTGCTGGACGAGAGGTGATGGGAGGGGACTTAGTGATGCCGTTGGCAACATCAGCGATGTCACGCTGGCTGTGGCTTGGCTTGTAGGGGCCTTTTGTCGGCTTTGGGAGGAAGAATGTGGGAGTGGCTGCCATGTTTTCAAGGGACTCAAAATCGCACGACCGCACTAAAGTAGTTGGTTCACATTTTTTCGCCGATTAATCGAGACAAATTTGCCAAATTGTTCCAGCTCTGGTTAGGGGTGACTTTTTTTTCATTTTGTTGACCATTGCAATAACTTTCACGTGTTCTGTATATTACCGGCAACGATCAGAAGCGTGAACATTGGACGAAATAAATGGTGCAAAAAAGCTAAACAGTGCACAAGGAATGATGTGGAGGTGCATGCTTGGAGAGACAAGAAGATGAACGCATGCACGAGAGAATATTGTACGCGCAAGTTATAGACAGCATATCGACAGCGAGGGAAAGTAAGTGGGCTTTGGCAGGACACGTCACTTGAAAGCGATGATGCCTGGTGGTCGAGACTAACGGCGGATTGGCAGACAAAGGAGGGAACCGCCCTGATGGTGGTTCCCCCATGAAGACGGGAGCGACGGATTGTTGCATCGCTGAACCTTGAGGGATGGCGATAGCTTAGGGAGGCCTTCATCCAGCAGTGGATAAATCGTGGCTGATGGCAATGAATGATGATGAGCGTGTATCAACGCATGCAATGTCTCATTCAGGGTGCGGCCGCAGTCTCTGCGAGTGGCTTTTGACAACGGGGGGGGGGGGGGGAGGACGAGTTCGCTGGGTTTATCCCAGCACTGCAGAATGCAATCGGTCACCTACCTTTTAAAGTCTTGGCGAGGAGGTGTGGCGTTCTCCTTTTCAAATGGCCATTTCTCAACGTTTCCCACTGTCGCAGGATTTGGCTTTGGTTTCCTCCTCCTCCCCTCCTCCCAGAAAATCAGTAGGAAATGGCTGCTTGCATTAATCTCAATAAAACCGCACCAGGGATCAAATAAATTCGGTAAGGTGCCGTTGGCCTGTTCAACTACCTGCAGTAAATGATCATAAACAAAATTAATAAGCAGACAACACACCTCCGTTCTATGTGTGTGTGTGCGCGTATCTTTCCACGTGAAAAGTTAAATCATTATTTGACACATCCCATCGGCCATGTGGTCTTCTCGTCGTGATTTTTTTTTCTCCCAGCGGCGTTGTATTATTACGGGAAAACCTCCGGACCGGTTTTGGCAATCAATGATTCATCAGCAGAGTCAGGCAATTACTTCTTAAACCAATGCTGATGAACTGCCCGACGTTTATGGGCAAGGACCCCCCCCCCCCCTATTAGATATAGGCCCGAGTTCAATGCAAAACTCTATAATACACAATACAAAGTAAGCATTCGCGTCTTTGTGAAAAATGTAAACTTTGTCTGCTTATTTACTTTGCTCGGTATGTTCTCCACAATGATGTTATGGTATTATTATTATTATCCCTTTCCAGTGTGTCTTTGGGGCATACCACGCGTCCTTCGGCGCGTTGTCCGACGTTTCGGTTCCACGTGCTTGTCGGGAGGAGCATGTTAAGTTTGTAGACCACTCTTGCTTCCGCGAAAGCTCCCAGAGCACGCGGAGCGAAACGAGACGCGGTACGAGCCCAAGTCACCTCGGAGAGCTGCACAAGTGCAAAAAAACCGGTAGCCGTATTGTCAAAATGTTTATTTAATTTTACAGTACTTACATATTTCGTTTAAGAGGGAAGGAAGTAACACCAAGCTTGAGGAGAGAAATCCGTCCATCTGTACATTTTTTTTTTATCTCGCGCGTGATTTTGTAGCTTGGACGAGGAATATGCGACAGACATTCGGCACACGCAAAAAGGAGGCAAACAGGTTTTTAGGGGATTGTTGTATTTGTTTTTGTTGTATTGCAAATAGCGCAGCGTTGAGAGAAGTGGAGAGTTTTTGAACCTGAGAAGATCGTTCCCAAGGCGACGCATTAATTTGCGCCCCGAGACGTTGTGCTGTTGCTTAAGGCGAAGGGCATTTCAGGGGTATTGCTCTCGTGACCCACATGGCGTGGTGATGCCTTCATCCAGCAGTGTATTGAAAGAACAGATGTCAGAATCAGAATATGTCTTTGTGCTGGAGGAATCCGATGAGCTATGAAGCTCGTTTTCACAGATGTCCATTGGGGGCACGGGGTCAGAACGTTGCAACAACAAACAGTACACAGACACGATAGGAGTGCAAAGTATAGGATATGTGAACGAATCACTTAAAAATATACAAATAAAAATAAAACTATGAAAAAATAGGACGAGGGTTTACCCTTTCTGGCAATAAAACAGGTGTTAAGATGTTCAAACACCAAATGAACATCTTAACACATACTCTTTGGTTCTTTCGGTAAAATCACGTAGTTAGAAATAAAATAAAACAAATGTTATTTATTGTATTTTTGTTTTATTTTATTTATAACTACGTGACTTTACCGAAAGAACCAAAGAGTATGGATTCCTGCAGTCATGAAAGCTTCAAATCAAGATCTTAACACCTGTTTTATTGGCAAAAAGGGTAAACACCCTATTCTGATTTTTTCACATTTTGATACTGGCAAAAAGGTCCCATTTCGGGGCTTTGATGATAAGTGTCTCTGTTCTGAAGCAATTTATAAAAGTGGGTATTTGGGAGGCAATGCTGGGATTGTAAACTAAACTATTAAAACATTTGTTCTTCATCTTACCAGGTGAAGCCCACTGAACTATGCGTGCGTACTCCAAATGTGGGATCCTGCCAAGGTGTAAGGTGTAATGGTGAGCACGCTAGACAATCAAATGGTATCGGCTTCATTCTCCCAGGTGAAACAATGGGGCACATTTCTTAAATTCCACCCCCCTCCCTCCCCACCGCCTCCGATCACCCAGCAGTAGAATTCGATACACTGCAGTTATTAAACACACAGGTCCCGTGTGGAGGGTTAGAGTGTGGGTACTCCTCACCTCTTACAACATCTCTGACCAGTGTGGAAGAGTAGGCCAGAACAACCCTCTCGAGGGACTCTCTTGAGCTCTCTTCAATTGAGGCCCTTCCACCAGCAGTGGCATGAGCGAGTGATTGCAGCCCTGCACCTTTCCATTTTCACGACGAGCGTATCCGTCTAGTAATAGGTTTTACCCTTTTAACTGGCACAAAAACTGACGCCTTTATTCAAAGCCTACGTGTTAAACTGACCTTTATTCAAGGCATCATGTTTGCAATAACCACAACACAAGCAGTCAAAATGCAAACAAAAGAGACAACTCTGATAATAATATGCACTGTCCTTGAATTTGATTGGTCCACACCCAAGACGGATTTTCTTAGAGCCTAGTCTCCACTGGTGTTGGACCAGATGACGCCAAAAGGCATTTTGACTGCTTGTGTTGTGGTTATTGCAAACATGATGCCTTGAATAAATGTGTCAGTTTTTGTGCCAGTTAAAAGGGTAAAACCTATTCCTATATCTTGTTACTGGCAAAGGAGGTCTCATAATGTAAGAGCGTATCCATCGTCGCGCATTTCAAATGCCGTGCGTACCGGGGTGCAAAACAGGCTGTTTAAGTGCAGCTTCAGACTCTCGAGCCTCTG